GCGACACTTTCGTGAAAACGCGCCATACTCCTTAAAATTTTTATTATAAGTTCGTTCGCTTAATGACACATCTGCCGACAATATTGTTTACTAGAGTGTTCGCTAGAAAAATAGGACTTACTTGAACTTCTAGCTTACAATTAATCATATTAGGTGTGGTCTATAATCGGACTGTCACACTTGGAAGAAGCTCCTACTCATATTAGCCATCAGACTAGATAGGTAATTTCCATATATCCATATACATTTCGACATTTGAATCCGTATCAACAAGAAAGCATCCCACCAAGGAAACCCCCGTTTATTTCATTCAAATAGCATTCCGATAGAACGAATATAAATTCTATAAATAATGTTTTCCCTCAAATGTACTATTCAAATATCGCACACGTGCAGAAAAGGAGTGCTCACACTTCATTTCAAAATATTTCTCAGTTCTTAGCAACTGCTACTCCTTATTCAGACCCGTATGACCTAGACTCTTGAAGTCTATTTGATGAATACCAGCAACTAGAAGCATTTCTTTAAGGGACTTTCTAGTGCAGCGGCTAGTCGTTCGTCGGCGCCCCTCCGGGGCGTCACTCACGACTAGCCGCTGCTATGTTTCGTTCTATTTCTCCACAGCACTATCGTTCTTTATTTACACTTCATCTACTCACAAACTCGGCTTAATTCGAAAAACCATTAGATCTATAGCATGAGAATTCTCGACAGGGATTTCTAAACCAAAGCTTCGTTGTGTACTATTTCTGATTTCTTCAATTTCATCCTGCAGCTGAAAAATCAGAGTCTTATCGAAATCCCTCATTAAGAAAATATTAGTGCAGTTTTCTCAAAAATGTCTGTTTGTACATTTAAAAAAAAATTTTCGAAACAAAAATGTTATTTTGGCCTGCCACAAAAAATAAGAAAGTTCGTTTCTGATTGGTCGGTTTTCGACCAATGAATTCTCAGTCAAAAAAATGGGCTTCAGATTCTGATTCAGGGCCTTCGATAACCTATAGCAAAGTTCACTCAAAACGAGTAAAAGTCTTAACACAAGAGCTAGCATCTCCAAAGTGACAATATTCATTTTTGTTGGAGTCAAAATATATCACTATTTGACGCTAAACTTATTCTTTTGATCTTTTCCTCTCTTTCATCCTTCTAATCTCAGTTTGATATGAGTCATTGCTAACTTGTTTTGCCGTCGTCTTTAGTCTTTTTTTCTCTATTCTTCATCATCTCTTTTCGTTTTCTTTGTTCATCTCTTTTTGCTGTATGTTTGACAAAATAAAACATTCTCAACACTTCATAGAAGACCAGCCCGGCCAAAAAAACGACTTCAGATTCGGATTCTCGACCCTCGATAACCTATAGCAAAGTTTCATCAAAACATCGAAAATCTTTAAAACAAAAAGCTCATTTCTGATTGGCCGTTTTCCTGACCAATGAAAGCTCGGCTAAAAAACGACTTCAGATTAGGATTTCCCAACCCCAATTTACTTTGATCAACCTTTATAGGAAAATTCATCGTTGATGTTTTTTTGACCTTGACACAAACAACGTACACACACACAAACTATTTTTTTTCATTTTTTTTCATATGACCCTCACTACAGTCGAGGGAACAATAGTTGAAGTTTTATTTGACTATGATAGGAAGTCTTTTATGAAAGCGGCGATGGGTCGATTTTTGTTTTTTTTTTATTAAGCATAATTGCCCTATGACCATGTCGGTCCTAAAGGGACACTTTAGCTGCACCATAACTTTATAATAGATAAAATAGAGAATGAAAGAAAGAAAAAACACGAAGAGAAGAAATAACTTGAAAAACAGAAAGAGAGAAAAAAAAGGGATGAGACGAAATGAAGAAAGAGAAGAGAAAAAAAACAACAAATGAATGAAAACAAAGCTGTAGCATTCTTACTCTGTTTCACAATACTAATATTATGTACTTTTTTTTTGTTTGTTCTTTCTTCAGTCCCACACCCCTCGCCAGCGGCACGCTGCCCTAAACTGCCTCTATTTCCTTTCTATCTCAAAATTTCTTACGTAAAAGTTTCCGGAAACAGAGCAAACGATAATATATCTTCTTCCTTGTGTACTACCACAGAGTCTGAGGAGCCTTGCATTGCCATCCAGTTGCACACTTGGCCTAATACATCCGAGTGTGATACAAATCTTTTGGATCTATAGAAACAGCGAATGCGTTGTGCACCAGATTGCCAGGCTGATCTGTGTGCATTTATTTCTGATTGCTCAACTAATAGGAATCCATCCCTTGTCTTAGATAACGCCTTTGCATATTTTTCCCAATATCCAAAGCAGAGATCATCCAACGATTTTTCATTGTATATATACGAAAAGACAAAGTCATCCCAGCATTGACACCAAAATATTCGTTTCAACAATATAAAATATAGGTGATTCAGATCCGCCCGTTGCGTCTCGGTAAATAACGGATAAAGTCCGAATAGCCATGTGAAGTACGGTAGAACAAAAACCGAAAAAAGAATTCTTCGAAGTTTAATTGATGATGTACCATTGAATCTGAACGAATTCACTAATGCAGTTTTCTGGCGAACCTTTACTCTAATTTTACCAATGACATTTTCCCAGTCCAGCTTAGTTGTTAACCAATATCCTAAATACTTGAACGAGGAGATCCATTCGATCGCATTATCTCCACATCTAACTAATGACATTGGGTTTGGATAACAGACAGCACGCGCTGAGAACATAATTTGTGTTTTTGAGTAATTAATCGGATGCACTGCTAATATCGAGTAGAATTCCAGCTGTTCAAAGAACGTTTGGAGTCTTCGTTCCAGATCCACACATTGTTGTGTAAACTTTAAACCAATTTGTCCAGCTAATACTGCTGCAAGATCATCGGCGAAAAAGAACGACATTGCCCCAGGAATAAAATCCGCCATATCACTATGATAGGTAATGAACAGCGTTGGTGTTAAACTTGACCCTTGTGTACCTCCCCTGTTAATTTTAATCCATCTCGATCTTTTACCCTGAATCTTGATTGTCGCTTGACGATCCTTTAGCCATGCTTGAATCCACTTGACATACACACTTGGGATCCCCATTCGAGACAACTTCCTCAGACATCCTTCGAACCAAAGTTGATCAAATGCAGATTTAAAATCAACAAAAACTGTCGCAACGGGTGAACTATTTGACATGTAGGATGAGATTTGTTCAATGAGCAGTAGCACACGTGTTTGAAGTCTATGTTCAGTCCGAAACCCGGATTGATTATCCGGAAGAAGGCCACGGTCCTTCAATATTTGTAGAAAACGATTGAGAAACAGTCGTTCTTGTATTTTTAAAAAAGAGTCGAGCAGGGAGATAGGTCTTGTTTGATCAGGCGCGCATATAGCATTTTTCTTAGCCAGTAGTACCATTCTTACTTCTTTAAATTTCTTCGGTACGTAGCTCTTAGTAAAAGAATCGTTGTATAACTTTATAAATAAGTGCCAGTAGCTTTTTGGAATTTTATCTAACATAAACGGTGAGAGTCCATGTATATCCAGTGATTGCTTCTTTTTTCTTGTATATAGTACATATAATAGTTCTGGATAAGTTACAAGTGGTATCGGTTCCGACACATTCACACATTGCACATTCAGGGCATCCACATATGGATGCGGGCGTACGATCACCGGTGCTTTAAATAGAGTTTCATAATAATCTGCTCGGTATCCACCATCGCTTGCGGATCCTTTATTATTTCACCATTCGGAAGTAAGAAACCTCTTAAGGATGACGAGGTGGTTCGAACATGTCTTTTCGTTTTACTCCAGAATACTGTCGAGCATTCACCCGAAACATGTCTTTTCTTCAATTGTTGCGTAAGTCGATATTGTTGATAACGTTTTAATTCATAACGAGCGACGTTCCTAAGATGACGAGCTTCCTGCCGAAGAATACTATCACCCTTTCGCTTTGCTTTGTACGATAGTGATCTACTTTGTCTTAAGAGTTTGATAAGTTCGGGTGGCACCGACGGCCTGGTTCGCTTGAGTGGTAAGTATTGCGTACATCTTGCTGCAAGTAACACAATAAAAGATATCAATCGTTTATATGTAATATCATACGATTCAGCAATCCATTCTTTTCCACAATATTCAAATGTATAAGATAGCATTAGCGAAAAGATCGACCATATTATTCGCGATCCTTCTAGCTTCAAAACTGTATCACAAACCAGCACCATCAGCAGAAGCTGATGATCGCTACAAGTGTCATCTTCACAGGTTTGGATCGATATATTCACACCAGCTGCTAGGGCATAATCAATTGTTCGATCAGACCGAAGCGATGTATTAGAATCCGGAACAAAAGGATCGAGACAACATGAGTACATCCATTCTAGTAAACGTTCAGCTTTTTCACCATCCTTTTCGATATCGATTTTGAAATCGCCTGTAATCGTACAGCGATTCGTGATGAATGAGGACAGATCTATCCATTCCCAGGATTTGCTAGCTGGAGCGTAAATTGCTGTAAGTCTTATTGTTTGCTCCAACAGTAAATCAATTACACAAACGTTCGGCAATGAACAAGAAATCCTCGTAGTTGGAATATCATAATGTATCAATACAAGAACATCCCCATGTGCATTTTCACCAGCTTGATAGAAGATACGGTAGTTAGTGAAGGCGGCACCTAATAAATAAAAGTCAACATGACCAACCTCACCAAGTACCATAATATCGAAACGATATTTTTTCACCAGCGGGCAAACTTCTCCCCAACGTAAATCGAGACCACGAACATTAAAGCAGAGTACATGCATATATGAGAAAATTTGATTAACATGCGACTTTTTGTATATTTTCCAGTTCGATAATAAATCAGTTAGTGAAGGAGCAGCATGCCAGTCAACAAGAATTTCTACAAACAATTCAAGATCTTTTAATGAGAGAGTATTATATGCATGCATAATCTAAAAACTGAGTAGCTTGGATATCATGATTAAAATTGTTCCTGAGTGCCGTTCTCATGGTTTAGAATTAGAACGAGACGTTCTAGATTCTACTAGTAGTTGAAGTTGTTCTTGCCAATACGATTTCCAATTTGATCTTTGTGTAATTTGTGGGTCTAATATTGATGTACACATGTTTTCAAGTATTGTAAAGACTCGCACTTTTAAATCTTCAAACTTCTTTTCCATTGCTTTTATTTGATTGTCAAGCACTTCAACTTGTTGTTTTGTTTCTTCGTAACGAGTTTTCATTTCTTCTTTTAGTTCTTCAAAAGAACGACGTGTTGCATTAGATTCTTCTTCCACTTTTACTAAAATATTATCTAGTTTCTTTAATAAGATATCATTTGTATTTGAATATGGTGGCACTCCATTAAGTATCGAGGAATAAGAGCTGCCAACTATCGAACCACCAACAGGAATATTGTTTGAAGTTGGTTGTATATTTGTATATTCATTGTTAGCTGGTATTAGTTTAGCTAGAAGATTAAGGGTAAGTGCAGCACGATAGTCTTTCACCACTTTGCATTTTGAATCTTTTGAAATATGTGGTCCTTCACAATGAATGCATTTTGGAATACCTGAACATTGATGATCTTTCGGATTTGGATATTTTTCACCACACGTTTTACACGTTGATTCATTCTTTTGTTCGCAGTTCTTTTTGAAATGCCCTATCCCATAACAATTGGAGCAAATCAATACATTGGCTTGTGTAAAAAATTCGACTACGTTTAGTTTTAAGTGCATGACCATGATTTCATTAGCTTCTAATATTTCATTACGTAATTTAGTAGATAAGAATTCAAGTTTAACTGCACGTACTGGTTGCTGCGCTTTATTTTTTAGACGTATAACGTCTGCTATGCCCGGATATTTTTCTTTCAATTCGTGGACGAAATTTTCCCAATCTATTTGTAATGAGACAGCTGGAATAACTAACGACAGCTGTGGCGGTATTGACGGCCTTTTTGTTGTAAATTCGTATCCAGCTAATGTTGTAGGCCCATTTCCACTTTCATACAAGAACGCAAACGATTCACTGTTCTCGACGAAAACCAAAATACGACATTTGTTATTTTCAGAGCGTCCACGTCGATGACCAGCCATTTTTAACTCAAAATGAAAATTTTCACTTGCATGTTTAATTAGATCATCGATGACGACTTTTTCACGAGCTTGATGCGAGAAGATTATCGAAAAGGAAGAAAATGGAAAACGAGATGTAGCGTATCGACACGCGGCCAATGAAGGTTGTTGTTGTTGATCATATGTTGAATCTGGAACATTTCTTCCTTCCGTAGTATTGTAAGTAAATGGTTCTTCACGATTTTGTTCATAACGGTATGGATACAAGCTTTCTTTTTGCTGTTCGTTAATTCCCCGATGACGCTTTTTTGGTGTATTACGAGCGTTAAAAATACGAGTTGTCTGATAATATTGAGGTCGTTCTTGAACATTTGATTCAGAAACACCGCTGGTGTCGTTGCGACCTCTTTTAGTAGTAGCGGATATTGTTGTTGATGAGACCGCATGGTTAGTCATTGATGACGAACACAGAACATTAGTATTAACTGTCGGACGATATGAAGAAACTAATTCTTGTTGTTGATTCGTGTTGGAATATAATATCGCTTGTTGCGTATACATGTTTGCGTGTAACATCGCTTGTTGCACATAGGCAGATGGAACGTTAATAGTTGATGGTACTTGTTGCTGATAAAGTTGATGTTGTGTTACCATACTATCTGATGAATATTGATTGACGATTTGACCGTTTGGAGTTGGTTGAGCACACATGTGCGATTGAGGCTTATTGCACGGTTGGTATATTACTGGAGTCGTGCCATATACAATTTGTTGTTCTTTAGATACATCATGATTATTAGTACTTGTAGTATTATTTGACGTTGTAAACGGGTACTGATTTTCAGCAGTCATATAGACTACTTTCTGTTGTTCCGCTATATTAATAGAGTGTCATTTTGAAGAGGACATTTGTCACCAGAATCAAAAGTTGCGAACTTAGATTCTGTGATCAAAATTGCAGACAGAAAAATAAAAGAAAGAGCAAGAGCAAAATAGCAGAATAGAACAAGAAGAGCAGACGCGTCTTATCACTACTGAAGCAAAAGAAGGAATGATGGGTCGATTTTTCCATAGGAAGCTACAGGGAAAAAAGGGTATTTTTGCAATAACTCAGGAACGGCTCGGCCGATCCTTCTCATCTTCGAACTCGACTGAGATATTGTAAAGACTAAACCGTGAAGAAAATTTCATCCCGATCTGACTCTTCTTTCTAGAGTTATCGTGTAAACAGCCTTACGGACATACTGACCGATTCTAGAGTGTACTCACTTTTTGAGTACACAAAAAAAAATAAAAATAATAATAACAAAAAAATCTGACTTCAGATTCGAACTCGTCATCCTCAAAAAGCTCCGTTTTAAAGAATCATATTGAAAATACATCTTCTATTGTGTACTCAAAAAGTGAGTACATTCTAGAATCAGTCAGTGTGCCCGACCGGTCGTCCGTCCATCCGTTTACACGATAATTTTCTAAAGGAGAGTCAGATCGCGATGCGATTTCCGACACACTTCAGTCTTCGCAATATCTTGATCGTATTTGAAGATGAGAAGGATCGACCGAGCCGTTCGTAAATTATTGCAAAAATACCCATTTTTTCCTATGGCTTCTTATGGAAAAAAGACCCATCGCCACTTTTGTAAAAGACTTTTCGTATCGTAGTCAATCGAAACCCTAACTATTATATACCATTCGATAGAGAATTTCAAGAGTTATAAAATGACATACAAAACATTAAGAAACAAAAAGACTAACTAACCTATTGGTAAGATAAAAAAGCGGGAATCGGTTCGGTTTGTGTGCACGTTCCAATCGGTCCCCAATTAGAACTCTATCTTCCGATCATAGAGATGATAATCGAAGATTTTCTAGTATGGAGAACTCGAATCTGTACTCCACTTGCCTCGAAGGCTCATTGGTTGAGCATTGACCGATTGAAATCAAGTTATAGGAAAAACCACTTTCTGAGGCTCAGTTAAACCGAAGAGTTCAAATCTGAGCTGTATACGCTCCCAAGTCCTATTGATTGAGCAGTACCCAATGGAATTCAAGGGTTTAAAGAAAAGGTTTGCCAGACAAATTTTTATACCCAGACATTCTAAAATGACCGATTTGTTTAATTGACTTTTTGAAGTACATATACTCTCGGATATAAATCTGAGATTCCCGCATTTATTTGTTTTATAGGATTGAATTATGAACCAAATCTCACAAAAGCTTATTTTTTACGGTCGCTCTGTGTCTAAGTTTCAGCGCTAGAGATTGACCAATTATAAGTAAGGAAGAATCATTTATAATTGTTCGGTATCAGATAGAGGGCATTGTACAGTTCAAGAACTTTGCCTCACTTGCGTTTATCTACGTCACAGTAATCGTAGTTTTTGACAGACTTTTATTGCGATCAGTGCGTCGCAGTTACGTGCAACTACGACGCAGAATTTGCTCTATGCTTAACTGCGACACAGTCGTTAAAAAATAGTGGTATGGGTATTTTTGTTTGATAGAAAGATACTGAAAGAAAAATTTTTTCGTCTTTTGAATCGCATAAAACTTCTTTCTAGCACATGTTCATAAATGGCATGCCACAACAGGAAAAAGAAGCAACCTCAAAATGAGTGGGCACTTTTTTCATGAGATAACTGCACACAATGTTGACACCTATGTCTCTATGATACATATGTTTTGAAGGGAACATTTTTCTAGCAGTTAATAGAAAATTTTCTTCACTTTTAAACCGCAAATGATTTATATTTGTCATATATTCAGAAATATAATCACGCTACAAAACACTGGACCACTGATACAATAAATATTTCCATTTTCATATGAGTTTGTTAAGACATCTTGTGAGAGAATAATAAATTATAATTATTTGTCGTTTACAAGATGATATTGATGAGTTTATAGAATGTGAACTAATTACAGTTTTACTACGTATTTTTAATGAACCCACAAAAACTAAACTCACTGTCTTCTTACAGCGTGTTTTTGACAAGTCCATAAAAAGTTGCAAATTTGTTCAGCAGATGTTTCTTTTTTTTGTTAGCACATTTTATTTTGCAATGCTTGACAAAACGTAAATCATATAGATTTTCAAAGAGGAGAAAATTTCCTATCAGCTGATAATAAAATATCCCTTTCAAAACGTGTCTAGTACAGAAGTGTCAAAACCGGCATATTGTCGCATTTTCCTGCATATTACAAAAAGTGCGCATCTTTTTTTGAGGATACTTCTCTTTGTTGATATGTTATTTTGTCTTTAGATGTGTGATTAAAACAAGTTATAAATGGTTCAAAAGAGACAAAACTCTATCTTCTGGTTAAAAAATTGTCCTTTTAGCAGCTTCCTATCAAAGATAAATATAAGCCGACATTTGTCCTATTACTTTTGCATCGTATGGTTTTTTGTTCCCTGAATTATATATTTTATCTATAATTTATACGTTATGCCATACAAGAAAGTTTTTACTTTCTCATTATGTACGGATTATCAAAAAAAGCAAACTGCAATAGTCTAAGCAAAAAAAAACAAAGGTACGTTTAATTGACACGCACTATGGCTCATTGAGATGGGGTTCGTTGTAAAAGTTTATACAAAATGAAATTAAATTTCCAAAGATAACATTACTAACAGATATTTCGGCTATTAATGTTAAATAAAATTCCGGTGACTTTAATTGTTTGGTTATTACATTTTGTAAAGGCTTAAGTGTATATAAATAACCGATGATACCAATAAATATACCAATATATGCAAATAAATACATATAATAATTAGTTTTATAAGTTTTAATTGTAGCAGTCATTGGTAATTCTAAAAATATTGGAACAAGGATAAACGAGGCAATTAAGACGCCTAAAGTTGTTGGTAAACTGCTAGAAATATCTTGATATCTTAATATTTGATAGATTAGTGACAAAGGTAATGCAATCAGTATTGGTGAAATAAATGCTGATAAATGTATCAATCGTAATAGCTGTCGTGATTTTTCTTCATAGGCAATTATATCTGATTGTTTTGGATTCTTATGATTTTCATAATCATTATTATCATCCTCGCCACTTTTATTTTCCTTCATCCTTACGGATAGAAACCTTTTTTCATAATAATTCGTTAAATCATTCAATGATAAGGTAGCGACACGAATTGCCGTTGGTGATATTGACAATAAGACAGGAAATAAATTTAATAACAGATAAATTTGAGCTGCCGTACCAATTACACCACCAAACATTTTTTGTATTAATTCATCGAATTTTGCTGCACCACATTTTTGACAAACCGTATTTAAATTAGCAGCTTCAACATAATTGGGTACTGATGGTAATATAACGGCAATAAATATAACAATCAATGCAAGAAATGATGTTATCTGACTTCCGATAAGCCATTTCCGTGCCTTTGATTTATATTTATATGAAATCCAATCAAAAATTAGTATTAAACATAAAAGCAAAGTACCAACCAAATAGAAGATTTCTGCACAATGTAAAAAATCATCTAATTTTTGAAAGGATCCATCAAATAAAGAGCCACCTTCAGAATCTGGTGGCCAATCTTTAACATAACCAGCATCGGCTAATGCTTGTATAATTTTTGTTTTTGTTGGTATTAAATTATGTATATGTTTTAATAATGTTAATGGTATGCTTGAAAAAACTCCGAGCCATATACTTAATCGAGTCAGCGACATCCTATGACCATACGTCTCAGGGTGCTTATACTCCTTGGTTTGCATAAAGAAATCTACAAATACAATGTTAGATATATTCGCTCTACAGCTCTGTTTACTAGGAAAAGTTTAATATACAGGATGTACCCGATTTGAACGGCTAGCTCAGGCACAACTGCTGTATGTTTCGTGAGGAACTGGTAGAAAATATATTAAAAAGAACGATTAAGACCCACCCATTGACCAACAAACTATACTAATTATGAAAGTTTACACTTGAAGCTACCCAATCGTATGTTTAACTTAAGGAACTTCCTCTTCCAATTCAAAAACTTCCTCTATATAGATTTTGTACCTTTGTCTTGAAAAGAAATTCAATTGTCCTCTATTAAATCCTATATAAATCAGAATTATTCATTGTCATCTAGAGTTCTCAAAAATCGAAGTCTAAAGACTGCCTATTTACAGCAATGACCTTTCAACGTTTTAGAATTGATTAAAAATACTTTTTCATAGTCCTGAAGTGTTGCAAACGTGAGGAATAGATACGCAGGGTTTATGTGTAAAGCTGTTAGTAAACAACTTGTAATCAATCCAACGAAACAAAGGTGAAACTACGAGATATCATAAAGTAAAGGTTTTTTGCACGCAGCATCCACTCAAAGCTACTTTTTTGGGTAGCAGAATTAGTAAGTCGTTTCCTTTACTATAGGATTTTTTCGAACGGTTCTCAAGAACATCTTTGAGATTTTAAGTGGAGGAATAAAGAGAATTTCAATTTTCCATACGAATTCATTTGTTCAAGGTGTGGATGTAAAGAAAGAGACACTCCCACTCACGTCCTTTTCGTTGACTCGGTATTCAATTTTTTCATCGGTAATGCATACAATTGAAAAATGAAAGTCGTCAGTTCGAGCTAAAATACATACCAGCCGTTACATATTTAGATGTCGAATCAGAATATATACTAGATTATCCGATTTAACATTGAAGAAGCTGTGAAAGTCTCTCAAAAATAGTTTTTTTGCTGTACTCAAAGCTTTCAGCGCTTGATGCCCGATCTAAAAAAGCAAGGTCAAAAAATGGTCCGATTATGGATAATTATTGATAAAATATCTGAACTAATGAATCTTTATGGAAAATCAGCATTTTATTTACTCTTTCATCCAAAAATTCACAGATTTTCTCGAAAATCTTTCGAAAGAATTCTAAAAATTCAATCGAAATTTTGTTTTCTGTCTGAACTGTATATACCCTATGTGTGTCTGTGCAATGCATAAAATCGTAGATCGATAGATATTTGTATTCTAAAGTTATTCAAATTCTTCCAATGCGCGCTGTTTTTTTGAAACGAATAGTGGCCATTGTAGGATCTATGACAACTGTATGTAAGACGATCATATGTAAGACAATTATGAGAACAACGATCATGTACATATCAGTTATACGCAAATCTGGATACTTAGAAAAAATGAATTAATCATTGTATTACTAGATACTGTCTATACATGATAAAGTTATGACTTCATGATTTTTGTAAACGTATTGAATAGAAGCAATGGTTGATTCAAGTTCCACTACTCATATACAAAATAAAAACAGTATATCAACGGAATCGCTGTCGAAATCACGAAAAAATTTCAAAAACACGAGCCTAAAAAATGACAAATCTTAAAAGTGACAATCTCAAAGAAGCAAAATGTCGAAATGTTGTTTTTCAAAAATAATGACATCTCGAACAATAGCTAGTAATAACTTCTGAAAGCATTGCTTATTTCTGAGTCTTCTATAAATTCATTTGCATTGAACTAAAATTCTTGTCTAAGGCGTTTATTTGTAGTGGCACCCTATCCACGACGTTTTGAGTTAGCAAAGTCGCACTTTTCAGAAATATTGCCAGTGATGTTGTTGCAAAGCAAAATAAATTTTCTCGAGATTCTTCAATTTGAGATTGCGACGCATTAGCTCTAAATGATCATTTTTCCTTGAATGTATCCAAAAGGCGTGAGAACAAGAAGTTGTCACTCTGTTAGTTATACAGGAAACTTAATAACAATTGCTCATACATTTATATCTTAATTATTCATTGATGTTTTTACCGTGATTTATTTGTATTATTTTTGTGTACTTCTATCTGTGATGATTGGGATTCATTTTTTGAGAAGATATTTATGTGTGCATGAGGGACTGTACACACAGCTGTCTGGCCAAGGGGGAAAAAGCGGATTCTGTGTATCGGCGATACGGTGGCGATATGAACGATACATACGATACGTACAATACGGTGACGATACATACGATACGT